AAAGAAAGAAGAAAGAAAGAAAGAAGAAAGAAAGAAAGAAAGAAAGAAAGAAAGAAAGAAAGAAAGAAAGAAAGAAAGAAAGAAAGAAAGAAAGAAGTTCTTCACGAGGAGAATGATAATTTTTGAAGTATGGACAGTTTTATAAGAATAAAGCAAAAAATTATTCTTGTTCTTAACCAAATTGAGAACCAAGAATGCAGTCTGAAGTTCACCTAATCATGTTATAAGACCTTTCCTCTGCCCTCTATAATTCAGTAAAACAATCCCATCTGAGTGTTTCCTAGAGAAAAAAAAAAAGTGTTAAAGTTAAGGCAAAGTCTTAAAATGCTGAAGTAGTCAGATTTTCTTGTCATCTTTGACTTCGAAAGCTAAATCTTCACATACATTAATAATATTCCCTGGGTCTCTCCTACATCGTTCATTGAAATGTAAACTAGCACGACTACTATAGAAATCACTATGAAGATTCCTCAAAAACTAAAAATAAAGCCTCCATTTAGTCCAGCAATACCATTCCTTAGTATTCTCCTAAAGAATTAAAGGTAGTATACTACAATGATACACACATACCCATTATACTGGGGTACAATTCACAATAGCTAAGTCCTAGAAATAGTCTATCATGTATAGAAAGAGTCTGTCAGCCATAGAAATGCCCATCACCTAGTAAATGTGTAAAGAAACACATAATGTATAGATATAGATACAGAATATATTCTGATACAAAAAAATAAAACCCCATCATTTGCAGAAAATTGAATGAAACTGGAAATCATCACCTAAAGGAAATTAAACTAGAGTCAGAAGGCTAAATATTGTATGTGGTCTCTTATATGAGCAATCTATGAGTAAATAAAGAACAGATGAACAAGGAACTGAAAGGTAGCCTTTGTGAAGTTGGGGAGAGAAATATGGAGGAGGGAAGGGACAGCAGAGTAGTGGAAGTGAACATAATCAAATTATGTGCATGTACCAATAAATACTTCAAGCTGAATCTCATTGCTCTGTATTACTAATATGCACCAATAAAACAAAAGCATTGAGGATACATTAGTGAATGAATTAAATACAAAATATAATAATGTTAGTAGACAGACAACAAAAATGTGGCAAGTAAAAATTACAAGGATCCTAAAAATTAATATACATTAGTTATTTGTAAAGATTTAAGAATAATAGTATTTACTGAGCCTATGGAAAACCATTTTTAAAAACAGCTAATCAAAAGTCAAGCCGAAAAGCTCAGTGGATTAAAGCACCTGCTTAGGCAGATGCAGTGGCCAGCCGCCCCCGCCCTTCCCAGGGAGCGCTGAGATGGCGATTGAGACCAGGCAAGGTGGTGCATGCCTGTAATCCCAGCTCTTGGGAGGCTGAACACAGGCGGATCACTATGAGTCCAATCTACGTAGTGAGACCCTGTACACCCTGTGGACCCTTACTAAAAAAATAAAAAAACAACAGCTAATTACTTTATAATAAATGATTAAGTCACCACTGAAAAAAAGTCTCTGGCCACCCAATACAGCAATACAAACTGCCCTTCTGATGTGTGTTGTCCACATGCAATTATCTAAAAGGTCAACACAAATGTGTTGCTCTAGGGTGAGGTTTTCTCTCACTGCATTTAGTGGTTTTCAACCTTTTCTGTGTACCTAAAACTTCCCAGCCCCCTCACTAATTCAATTAGAGGAGTCCAGAGTTATCCTCCAAACTTTCATTCCACATCATACTCATTGGCAACCACTGTAATTAGGGTTTTAATTGACTGGAAAACCTTTGACTTGGTTGTAATAATAATCCCTTGGTAACTACCTAACATAACTTAGCACAATGAATTTTTAAAATTCTTTTAAATTCAAAAATATTTCTCTCCCAGTGGTATTAATTCTACATCCTTTCTTAAAAGACACAAAATTCTTACTTGCTCTCCTTTTAATTGTAACATAAGAGAAAGAAGCCCAAAAGGTAAAGTTCCTATTCTTTCCTCACTATTATAGGCATAGCAAATCCCTAATAAATAATTAACAATAAGTAACTGAGCAAATAACATATAGAGATAGATGAGACATATATGACAGCCCTTTCCTTCAGACAGTATCACAGAGACTCAAACTCCTTGAACATAAGATAACAATATATCTGGTAGTTCCTATTTGAGACATGGACTGGGTTCTGGCTAACACCCCTTCAAAATTCACAGGTCTCTTTGATTGCTTTATATATTTCATTTTCATTGCTCAAAACAAAGAGGTTAAAGAGGTACAATTTGTCATAGCTAAATCTTGGCAGCAACCTAAAGGCCCATCAACTGAAGAATGCATAAAAAGCTGTGGCATTTTTATACAAGGGAGTACTACTCTGCTACCAAGAAGATAAACTTGAGGCTTTTATAGATAAATGGATGCACCTAGAGACCATACGCATAAGTGAAATAAATCAGGCCAGCATGTGTAAACATCCTATTGTCTCCCTAATGTAAGAACCTAAAAGAGAAAACAAACTCTGAAAGATGCAGGAGATATTGTGAAAGGAAAAGAAACTGCTCAAAAGGAATGGACAACTGGGATGACAGAAAGGAGAAAAGAAAAAAAAAGGAAGGAGGGAAATATTTATAGGTATATACACACACAAGATAGCTAAAACAATTGTACTCCCAATTTCTATTGGTTTATTGAAAGGAACAGTTAATATTTAATTTTTAAATCAATTTGTATGACTATATCTGGTAATCTGAACAACTACTTTGAATTTAACAGTATGTAATACAATAACCATTCTTAATTTCCTATCATCCTGTTTTGTAAGTTCCACATCATTTTTAACATTTTAAAAAATTTTTACTCTCTTTAAGATAAAAAATTTTTTTGCAAATTCAAGAGGAATTTTTTCTATATAATGAAACATGAGTCTTTCTTAAATTTGAAAAACATTAAACTCATTAATATTTAGACAGAGCAGTGAATTTTGTGCCTCTTATTATTGGAACAAGCAGGGAGCTGGACAGAATGCTTGGGCTGGGGAGCGTCTCAGAAAAGAGGAGGTGCTGAGATGCAAAACACTCAATGTCTATCACACAGCCTAAGAATAATGCTGAATTCAGGTATGATAGCATTGAGTGCAATAGCAGCCTTCTATGCGCCTGTCATTCCAGTTGTTTCCACACAAGGCTTTGGGAGGTGAGTCATCGTGCACTGTTGCTAGAGCGATTATCAAGATGGCTTTCAGGAAGGTTTTAACTTCATTAAAGGCACAAGGGTATACACTCACCAACCAAAAACATCATACATTAAGGCATTGATGTGCCTGCAATAAATATAAACTAGCTTTGGAAGGTGGCCAAGGCTGCAAAAAGGAAAGTACCAGGTTTATTCAGGAAAGGCAGTGGGAGAAAATAATTCTTTAATATGACCACTATTGAAATTTATAAAATTTGAAAAAGGGTAAGGATTTTAGAAATTGATGACTGATCTGAGAATGTGTGCTTATGTTTCTTGGCATCAGAAAAAAGCCTTGAGGGAGAAATGGCTGCTGGATGGGATCAGCACTGGAAAAGAGCAGGAAGAGATGAAGAAGCAAAATCAGCAAGACCAGCACCAGATCCAGGTTCTAGAACAAAGTATACACAGGTAAGGCCCTCATTAAGACCCCCAACTGCCTTGACGTGGCTCTGCCCCAGGTTGTGTGGAGAAGAGCTGTTCGCATGATTTTCAAGGGTAAGTCACGTTTCCCATCTAGATTCCTAAAATAACTAGGGAAACACACCAGGCGGCAACAACAGAAACATTACTGAAAATGCCACCTGAGCAGAACAACATCAGATTTATTTCGGAATGAATATTGATGAGTTGCTCATACCTGACTGGGCTTATTTACTATAATAGCTGTTTTTTAGGGTCATCGAACAGATTTAAAATATATGTATTAACTAATATCATCTTCAGGGCACATGGTAGATGCCCCAACAAGACTCCTTCCCAGCTCCAGTCCCCACTCCTACCTGCCAGGGCTATGGCTGTGTTCATCTGTGTCTCCTGCACACTGCTACCACACAGTCCCCAAACTCAACCATGGTATTCTGGAAAAGAAAATCCTATCTATCTCTATCGACCTATCTATCTATCTATCATCTATCTGCCTACCTATGAATGCCTGACTACCATCTCCTTCTTCGCCTTCCATGGTTCTTGGTCATGGGAATTCATCTCCTATCTCCCATCACACATAATCAGTATGGCGTCAGGCAGGACTGTAACAAGTAAAGTTCCAAATTATCCTGACTTAAAATCAGGTGATGAACATGAAAAACTAGAAAGTTCAAATATAGCACCAGCCAGATGCTCAGCAGACTAAAGTGCCTGCTTAGGCAGAGTGCAGCGGCCAGAGTTTGATCCTTGGCCTGCTGTGCCAGCCCCGTCCCTGGGATGAGCTGAGACAGTGATTGAGACTGGGCATGGTGGCGCCCCTCTGTAATCCCAGTGCTTGGGAGGCTAAAAACAGGAGAATCACTATTAGTTCCTATCTATGTAGTGAGACCCTGCAGACCTTATACTAAATACATTAAAATAAAAAGAATAAATAAAAGCTAAAATATAAGGTAGGATTATGAGTACTAGCACACAAAAAAGTAGATATCATGGAAGAAACTGATACAGAAAAGCTGAGAATCACTTTCTAACCTATACATAGAAAAAAAAAGACGTAATATCTTGGGTATACTCATGCTAATAATTTTAAATCTACCCATCTCTGAATTATTGGCAATTCAAAATGTTGCTCACTTCGTTACGTCCAGGGAGACCAGCAGAAAAGCTGGAAATACAGAGGATCCCACAGCTGTGCTGTGACCGTGTTGTGTCCACAGTCACCACACCAGACAATCAGATCCCACTAGGCCTAAAAGGGACAACGCAGGACAGTGCTTCTTTTTTTTTAAACAATTTTTATTTTCTTTAATTGTATATACTTTTGTATTTAAATACTAAAGTTGTTGACACCTTATCCTTTAGATATTTTCACACTGACTCTTAAATGGTTGCATAATTTATAATTTTACATTTATAAATCCTTCATTGTTTGCTGGAAGATATAAAAAAGTGCTTCCAAAAAGATTTTTTTTTTTTTAAATCCACAAACCAACTCTTCAGTTTGGAAAACTCTACTCTTTGTGAAGCGGCCCTTCCCAAGAGCTGCTTACAAGAGCCCAACTTACAGCGATGACTGCGGTCTTCATGCCTCAACATAGGACGTGTATAGCTTAGCGAGGCCGCAGAAGTTAATCCCTGGAAGCAGCTCCTCACTGCACGGACAGCATCTTGCCTCCCAACTTCTTTTTAAGAAAGGGAAGGAAAAGGGAGAAAAAAATGCAGGTTAGTTGTGCTCTTAAGGTCTATTAGTTCATAGAAAAGGAATGTTTACACTTACATTATTTGGAGAAATTTTTATGTCTCGTCTTGTACTCTGAGTAGCTACTCTGAGGATAATATATGCAGGGGCTGGAGATATAGCTCAATGGCACAGCACATGCCTGGCAAACATGAGGTTCCCTGAGTTCGATTCCCATTACCAAAATAATAATAATAATAATAATAATAATAATAATAATAACAACAACAACAACAATATACAACATATTAACTGTTGTTATTCTATCATCTTGTTATAAAATTTTGTTTTTTTTTCATAAAATAAAAACTAGGGGGCCAGCAAGATAGCTCAGCAGTCTGAAGTGCCTGATTGGGCACGCGTACAGGGACCACGGTTCAATCCCCAGCGCCCAGTGCCGCTCCAGCCCCACCCCCACAGGGGACTGGGCCAGCCACAAAAAATAAATAAACGAAATTAAAAAATCACTTCGTTTTATTATTATTATTTTTTAATGGTTAGTACATTGTGTATTGTTATTGCCAAAGTAGTTTCTCATATTACAAGATATAGGCAAGAAATAATAAGCAAATAACATAGGTACAGACCTCTTTTTTTTTTTAAGTCAACAGAGAATGGAAATATACTTTTTAAAGTTTCTAATGCTAGGAGAAGATATCATACAATGTCTTTTTAAATAAATTGTAAGTCAAAGATACAGTATAAATCTTAGAACAAAAATTAAGATTAAGCAATATTCAGAAAATTAA